TGGGACGGGTTTCATGAAATCCTGCTAAGTTTGCATTTCCTTACGATTATTCAAGTGCCATTTTCGATTCTACACTTGCTAAAGCCCTTTAACTACTCCGGTAGGCTTGATCAAACCTTGGGAAATTCGAAAACATGACACGAGCTTATTTCAATGATTTTATTAATAAAACAGCGGTCAAGAGCAGCTCGATCCTCATGAGGATTGGTTAGTTGGTCATGATTACAAGTTTACAGCTTGTTTACTCTTTCATATACCCATTCATAAGTATTTACCCCCTTTGTCCAAAAAGGTCTGGGCTGCCCTAGAAGAAGGGATTTTGCCGATGCAAGGGAAGCGATTTCTCAAGAGTCTACGTCAACTACCTAATCCTAACTTGGCAGCTGCTTCATATCCGCTACATAGTTTGTCGTGAACGTACAAAAATAGGCATAATTCGGGTTCCCAACAAAGATGTTTTAAATGATAGATCCCTTACCTTTGCAAAAATCTCCAGGTGATTTTTACCTTTCCATACTAAGCCGCATCGGAATGCAGGATCATTCTTCGTTAGGAACTTGTAAATCTTATCCAAACAATCGTGAACTGAAACCGCTGATGACATGATGTAAACTATGGTAAACAAACAGACAACCAACCTTTGCTTAGTGTGACATATGGGAGAGGTTTCATCATTTTTGAAATATCTTGTTGAGAATAAATAGAAGGTTTGCCGACATCACCACTTCCTTTAAACCATCCAACAATTTCCTGCAAAACGACCAAAGTTCTAACATATCCTTGTTTTTTAAAATTATTTTTGAACAACATTATTTTTATTATCATATACTGTTATTAATAGTTAACATTTTTAAGTTTTCAGAAATATTTTCAAGGAAGTTGAACATTACATAGAGTCAAAATTGCATCATTCCAGCGAGAAAACATTGAGCTAGAAGTAAATTATCCTCTAAACTTACCTGATCAGCTGTGGTGAAGAAAAGCTGTGCCCAGGTAAAGAACGGGAATCCGGCTCCTTGTGGATACGTGGTCAGCATTTGAAGAGGAAGGTCCCGAGGCAACTCTCCATACTCAACTATCTGAATAGGTGGACATTATCTGAATAATAGAGCAGTACTGGGTGAGGAATAGGGCAAGAGATAGATCTAAATTTGAAAAATTTAGGGTTAAGTTATCCACTCTTTGACAACTTTTGACAACTTTGGTTCTTTCGTTCGTATACCACCCTTTTC